GGGAAAATTAAAAAAATAATTAAATTGTAGTTAAAAACACAGACCATCATAAAATGTACCATCTTGACCCCTTTAAACAGCCAGCTGTGCTGTGAACACAGGACAGTGTAAGTGGTCTCTGGAAGTCTTTCATCTCAGGAACAGAACCTCTGCCTTCACTGAGCAGTGGCTCTCCTATCTCCCTCTACCTTCTCCTGGCAATCGTTGCTTTCCTTGAGGTTGGTACTAAAGGTCTGGTATTCCTGTAGCTTGTAGGTGGGAACCAAAAGCATCTGGCTTTTTGTGACTGGGTTCTTTCTCTTAGCAGAGAGCCCTCGGATTCATCCATGGGTCAGAAATACCTTCCTTTTAAGACTGAATAATATTCTGCCGGGTGAATTTCTAAACCATGAGAAGAATTGGCAGATCTGTTTGGTACTGGGAACACATCCAAACTCCTGAAGTCAAAAGATGAGCTGCAGTCCTCACAGGCTTGCAATCTCAAATAAATACTGGCTTGATTGTAAACTGTAGAGACTAACGGGGAATCAATGATGGAGGTGATGAAGTCAAGAGTCAGACCTGAGATTTCCATCTCTCCTGAGGCTTTGAAGCTTGGTGTCACTGTCTGAGACTTTGATCACACAGGTGACACCACTCCTCACCAGGAAAACCGGCAGGAGCTGAACTCCTTCCTCAAACAAAACACTTCTAGAGAGTGGTCAGGACTCAGGGTTACCGGAAGTGCCAACCACGTCTAGTCAATCACCTTGTCCATTTGTCATCCAGAGTGCGCCGCTGTAAAATCTGTAAAAATTATATAGCCACACTCTGAAGACGGGGCTAAATCATCCTTTGTCTTTACTTAATGTTACTGGCAATATTTTTTAATTTAAAGTCATAAAAACTCCAGAGAATGTAATATGTGTGTAAGAAGATCTAATTAAAATATGGTGTGGGGCTTGGAGAGATGGTTTAGTGGTTAAGAGCACTGGCTGCTCTTGCAGAGAACACAGGTTTGGTTCCCACGGCCATGTGGCAGTTAACAACCATGGTAACTCCATTTCCAAGGGATCTGACGCCCCCTTCTGGCCTCCATAAACATTGCATGACATAGGTACATGTAGGCAAAGCCCTTATACACATAAAAAATAAAATAAATATGGTGTGAATGGTTGTGCTTACAGTAGGACACAGAACAGAGGATTCTGCTTAATCCGCCACACAGTGGGTGTGGCAGAACACACCTATAAGCCCGACACTTGAGGGACTGAGGTAGGAGGGTCAAGAATTCAAAGCCAGCTTGAGCTACACAGCAAGACGCTGCATTAAAACAAAAAAAACACAAGGGTTGGTGTAGGAAATAAATCATTATGGTCCGTTTTCAGTATGATATGTGTTTGGTGCCCATCAAGAATCACAGATAAGCAGGAGGCACTGGGGCCGCCTTCCCTGGCTGGCAGCTGGCACCTGATCGTTAGGAGCACTTGATTTGTCCCAGGGATGAAGAGTTTCAAGGCAGTCTGCTATGTGGCCAAGAGCCTGTATGAGAAAAGGAGGAGGTCTCAAGCCTCCGGAAATGCGTTAGATGAGGCTTCGTGTCCCGAACCAACAGGATAAGGCATTCGGGGAGAAGACAATACTAGACACCCAGAAGATTGTAGCACCCCAAAGAATCTTACCAATGAGGAGCTCGGGGGCAGGGGAATGGGATTAGGAATTCAAGAAACTGTTTGGTGTTGCAGCAGGCCTTCTCCTTTTCTCTAGGCTGATGCCCAAGTTTGCAAGGTTGTAAAATAAATTGTTTTTCTTCACAATGGAGAGTCGCCAACAGTCTTAATAGGAAGTGAGGATCCCCATTTCTCACATCAGATACTCTGTGGTAGGGTGCTTGCACAGCACGAGGCCCTGGGTTCCTTCCACCCGAGCTCTACAGATAAATAAATGTATAAGTAAAAACTAAAGACCATCCTGTTATTATATTGGTTAAAAATTACAGCTTGCACTTATCGTTTTCATCTCTTAGTCTGTGAATATGTTTATAGTTACAAGTAGAAAGAAAAGGGAAAAACCCTTTCAGTTTTTGACTTACTAAGATACATATTTGGTAAGTATCTAGAATTGTGTTATAAGTTGGTTTTCAGTTTGATAAGTTTCAGTTTAAAAAGATACAAATTATTTAAGCCATGAATTCCATCTTTCTCCCTTTTGATATACTTTTAAGCATGTATTTTTAAAGTAGGTTTATTTTATTATTTTCATTTTATGTGTATGAGTGTATTGCTTGTACCTGTGCTGTGCAATGCTGGCGGAGGTCAGAAGAGGGCGTCAGATCCCCTGGAACCTCCTGGGTCCTCTGCAAGAGCAGCTGGGGTTCTTAACCACCGAGCATCTCTCCAGCCCACAGTAGGTTTTTTAAAAGAGACTTATTCTTATTTTTATTTATGTGCATGTATGTGTGTCTGTGTGTATATATGTCACATGTGTATAGGTGGACCATGGAGACCAGAAGAGGGCACTGGATCTTCTGGAGCGGGAGTTACAGGTGGTTGTGGATGTCCCAGTGGGGGCTGGGAACCAAACTTGGGTCCTTTGGAAGAACAGCATTTTGAACTGCTGAGCCACCCCTCCATCAATAGTTTTGTTTTGTTGTTTTTTTGGGTTTTTTTTTTTTTTTTTTGGACAGGGTCTCTCATAGCTCCAGCCCGGAACTCACGATATACACCAAGCTGGTCTTGATCTCACAGAGATTCACCCGCCTCTGTTCTTCCCGAGTGCTGGGAGTAAATAAAGGCGCCACATCCAGCATTCTAATAATTTTATAGACAAGAAATATGCTTATCATAGGAAGATGCAAGAATAAACTAAGAATAAGCAAATAACAATAAAATACAGACCACAGTGTTCATATTTGACATTTTGAGAGGCACAGAGGAATTCTTGGACATCATTTTTAAAGATGTGCAGTGGAGTGTGGGCACTGGCTTAGCTGTTTCCGGGTACTAGTGTCATGATAACACACATGTAAATTTATGTGTGTTGCGAATGTTTTTCACATTTTTATTCTTTCTTATGCATGGCACTGCTGGGCAGAATAGGTTGCTTCTAGTTTTTGAAGCAAAATAAGCTAGGCTCAAAAGGGCGGGCATTTAAAACGTCCCCAGCCGTGACTGTGTCTGTCCCTTACCCAGTCTGGGAGAGAGGACACTGCTGTTTCTCTTTAACTCAGCGTGGATGTCTTCAGTGATGGGATTTCCTTCTTGGCCCCAGGTTCCATCCTGTCCCATTCCTCCTCCGTGGTCCCTTCCATTCAAGTCACCAGACCTGCATGGTGGCTCTCTGGCCACCGACCCCTTTCTCTGCTCTGCACAGACCTTTTCCTAAAGACCCTCCTTGGTGCCTGGTTCCATCAAGATACCTGCGTCTCCCAGGTCCCAAAGTAACTCAGGGGTTGGAGAATCTGCTGAGCCCTTGCTACTGTGATTGGCTTGTTGAGGTTTCTTACTGCTTTGGTGACTTTTGATATTTATCCTTCCCTGGACAATCTTCTCTGATCAATATCTTCTAATTTACGACTGCAGTGGTTCAGACATGATGTAACAGGTGCTTTTAGCCGTTACATTGGTGGTTATTTACAGTGTGCGTTTTGTTTTTATTTCTTACTTAGACTCACCAGAGCTCTGCAGGTTGTTTGTTTTTATTTCAGAGGCTCGGTCCCCATCCTCGGTGGCACTGTTTTCATATTTTTATTTGAGGGCACTGATGGGGGCCCCAGCAATGTAGCTCCCTGTGACATTCCTGAAGTTGATGTTGTGATGCCTTAGTGGGGTCTAGGTCTTCTTTTTGTCTTGTTATAAAGTCTTTTAATGAAAACTGAGGTGGTCAACACATGAGGCCCCACCAGGAGTGGTTGCCATCCCCAGTGATGAGGTGATGGCAAGTCTTGTGGTGTTGGCTCCTCGGGCTCTGGGCTCTCAAGGGTTGTAGTTTGTAAAGAAACAAGATACTTTCTGAGGTTCCATGGGGAATGGCACCCAGCAGGTGAACACCCCAAGGGAAGGGAGGTTCCAGCTGAAGGAGAGGGTGCTCTGAGACGGAAGTGCTGGGTGCTTCGGAGCCCTCACACACCATGGCACAGAAGAAGCTGGTGAAGATTTCTTGCACCAGACTCTAAGGCAATTCCTGGTATCCTGCTGCCTGGTCCTGAAACCCTCCTGTAATCTCCCTGTGGGTGGCACTGTCACTTGCCTCTAACCAAGACAATAGGCCAGTGGTGGCAGTCTGAATACCACGAGTGGGGCCTCTTCTCCCTGTCTCTGGGGAAGGAAGCTCCACTTGGAAGGATCCAGGGTCCAGGAGGCCAGGTGCCAGGCACCTCCCCCCGAAGGCTGGTGTAGAACTGGCATTCTCAGTGCCACAGCCCAAGACTGGAGGTCTGTGTAAGCATGATGTGCCACAACAGCCACAAGGCCTTGGAGACAGACCTGTCCCTATCTGAGTCTCAGATGAGACCCCAGCCCCGGCTGGCACCACAGTAGACACATGACACCCCAGGCAGAGAACTGAGCTGTGCCGGGTTCCTTACCCACAGACACTGGGATATGGCAAACAGGTGCTGTTCTGAGCTGCCCTGTTTGTGCTGATGCAGCTATACAGCAATGCACACACACAGCCTTCCAACTCTGGACTTGGTGATCACTGTAGTGACATGCCCCGCCCCCCACCGCCAGCTGTTTTAAAGCAAGTCATTCTCATGAGCACAGATAAAAAGCCCAGGGCCCTACTGACACTGGGCAGCCTGCTTCCTTCCCATCTGGAGTGCTCTGCATCTTACCGAGACTGTGAGGGAGCACACTGAACCTCTCTGGGGTTTATCTGGGTCCCCTGGGAGGCTCCTGAGCAGCTGGACACCTCCATCTCTCCCGTTACCTACTCAGTTCTATTTCTTTCCCTCCAGAGAAGATGGCACCTTGAGGAATCTGCTGTCTGTATGATGTCAGAGCCTATGAGAGGGAGCTTACCATACCCAGGAACACCATCTCCTCCTCTCTCTCTCGTGCCGTTTTCTTGCATTGGTGGAAACCTCGCCAAACCTGTGAATGAAAGCGTGGTTATTATCTGAGCCACCAGCACCATCAAACAGCTTCCTACAGAAACAGCCACCAATTCCAGGCTGCATGTGTGCGTGCCAATCGAGGTTTTCTTTTAATCTTTTTTGAGACAGGGTCTCCCTGTAGCCCCAGCTGTCCTGGAACTCACTACGTAGACCCTGCCTCTGCCTCCTGAGTGCTGGGATTAAAGGCGTGAGCCACCACGCCCGGCATGCCAATTGAGGTTTTTAAATTGGAATCACAGGCAACAGTTTTAAAGAAAAGGTGAATCACAGAAATGACCTATAGCAGTCCTTCAATCATACTTGGGATTCTTCTAGAAAAACTTCTAGAAGGCAGACGGGTGAGGCTAGAGCTAAGGGCAGCAAGTCACTGTTTTAAAAGAAAAACCTGTCAAAGGAATAGGACGAGGCACAGAAGCTGCAGGAGGGCACGACTCGAGCTGTCGTCTGGGATGCTAAACCCTCATATTGCCACAGAAACGGCATAAAAAGTGTGCATTGTCTGCCCTGCCTCCCTCGCCCCATCCCAATCAAGCACAGCTGGGAACTGTGTCTAAGGGCAGCAAGTCACTGTTTTAAAAGAAAAACCTGTCAAAGGAATAGGACGAGGCACAGAAGCTGCAGGAGGGCACGACTCGAGCTGTCGTCTGGGATGCTAAACCCTCATATTGCCACAGAAACGGCATAAAAAGTGTGCATTGTCTGCCCTGCCTCCCTCGCCCCATCCCAATCAAGCACAGCTGGGAACTGTGTCCTGCTCGTCAAAGGAATAGGACGAGGCACAGAAGCTGCAGGAGGGCACGACTCGAGCTGTCATCTGGGATGCTAAACCCTCATATTGCCACAGAAACCGCACAAAAAGTGTGCATTGTCTGCCCTGCCTCCCTCGCCCTGTCCCAATCAAGCACAGCTGGGAACTGTGTTCTGCTCGTCAACCCTGTCTTATGTTTCTATACCTATTATCTCCCAGACCTAATTCTAATTTGTGCTGCATGGCCACAGTCCTCATTTACTCATGGGTGACCCTACCCTCCACTTGAAAATGGATGGAGCCTGACTTGGTGGAGCCTTCTGAGCAGAAGGGGTCCCCAAGGGTCACTTCTAGAAAGACTACCAGTGCTCTGGCCATCAGTTGTCGTGGCTGGATTTTAAGAGGCATGCTTGAGGTCAAACTGTCAGGTATTGATGCTGACTCCTCCTTTCTGGAATTCACTCACTGTGGATGTGGTTTTTAAAACCTCATTAGGGATTTACACCCTCCCTGGACTCTAGCAACATTCTTTTTAT